CACAGCGACTCCGACTCTGCTGTCCTCTCGACCTGGAATCAAATACCTTGGGCCTATTTGTTGGATTAGGTGTCTAAGCCCATACCTATAATTGGTATGTACTTGACCCGAGAGTAACATGGTCCATTTGGGTTGCATATCATCAGGACAATTTGATAGGATGGACTTTTGAGAAGAGGTTATTTATGGTTTTTTAATATATTATAAGTTCTAATATATTAATATGAAATCATATTATTTAATTAGTATTGATCAAGAATTAATTTGGAATTAATTATGTGATCAAAAGAGACTAATTAAATATACGGGGATTGATTATGTAAATCATTCATTTTTATAATGTGGGCTTATGATCCATAGTTCTTTATGTTGGGATAAACCCATGTGGTGACCCATGGATGATCCATGGAGTTTTAAACCCATGGAGCATGAGGAATATGGAAGGTCATGCACATTAGGGTTTGCATGGTGTAACCCTAATTAAGCCACACTATATAAGAAGCCCCTAGCTCATGAAATCGGCTACACATGTGTTCTTTGGAAGAGCTAGCCGAATTTGAGTGCAAGACACCTTCTCTCAAGTTATCCTTTGTCCTAGGTGTGTTGTGATTCCATTTGAGGCATTTATACTATTGGTGCTAAGTTCTTAAAGGCCAAAACTACAAGCTACAACAAAGAGGTAATTCTACAACTCTTTTCTATGATGTTTATGCTAGTTGTAGGCTTAAAGCTTTGGAAACAATATTGCATGTATAATTAGAGGAAAAATAGATCCAAAGCTTTTAGGGTTGCATGTACACCATAATAGTGTTAGAATGCTCAAAACCCTTCAATGGTATCAGAGCCTAGGGTTGTTTTCCAATATACTTGATGCTACTTGCTTTCAAAAGTTAAAAAAATCGATTTTCCGCTTTCTGGACAGTGGACTCGCCGAGTCGACTGGGGAACTCGACGAGTCCGCTAACAAAACTGACCAACTCGCCGAGTCAGTTCATGCACTCGACGAGTTGGTGCTCCAAAATGCATATTTTCGAGTTCTAAGGCTGGAATTGGACTAGGATCATTACCCTAAACTATTTTTGAACTTATAAACTTGTTTTTGATGTGGTAATGATCATGCTTATCCAATTTAAAAGATAATTGTCAAAGTTTCATGTTTTGTATTAGTTTATATGGTTAGGCTAATTACATGAAATTTGTTTGATATGAATTGTCTTGCTCTTATTAGTTTAATTTAGATCATTGACAAATTGTTTGATTTTGTAAGTTACAATAGTTGATCTAAATGTTTTTTGATGAATTTCATAACTTGTCCTCAAGTTATGGTAAGTGAAGAGTCTTATTTTTAAATGTCATCTTAAATGGTTTTATGTCATCCATAACTTTTCCTCAAGTTATGGAACATGAAGAGTCCTTTTCATAAATGGTTTATGAACTCCATAACTTGTCCTCAAGTTATGGATTTTCAAGAGTCTTTTCATTAAAACCTATATTAAACTCATAAGTTATGGATTCCAAAAGTTTTTGAATAATACAGAACTTGCCCTCAAGTTTTGAAATTTGTAAATGCAAAGTCTTACTTTGAAACATTTAGTTCCAAACCCTAGAATTTTAAAAGAGTACAATTCAACCCTGATACTATTATAATATTATAGGTTTAATATTTATATATATGTATAAGAGTAAAGTCAGTCTTACCATTAGTAGGCCTCATTCACGAAGCCGGTCTATAAGGGGGTATAAGGTTACTACCTATAAAATGGTAGTTTAATGGGTGTCCCCTCTCACCCAATCACACCTTGTTAAGTCGTTAGTGGAGCGTGTGTGGTTAACTGGCACACTAATCCGGCACTGACAGTGCGTAGCAAAGGGTAGCTTGATGTTAATCATAGATCAATGGAGCGTGTGTGGTTAACCGGCACATTGATTAGGTGGTTTGTAACATTGGGTGTACCAAGCTAATTTTCATGGTTATTCACACCTTGTTTGTGATCCTCGACATCCCAGTCACAAACTTGAAGGGCACAATCGAGATTTAAACATGCCATTGAAAAGTTCAATGAATCTCAAAGGATCTAGGAATTTCAATTCACTTAAAACCTAAAGTTCATTTTCTTTTTTTGTGGTGGAAATTGGTAAATCGTCATTTACCTACCTTCAAATAGTTTACAATTGGATTACGGCATCCCTTTTCGAATTGTAAAATATTGTGTTGAGTCATAACCTTAATATTTCATTTGGGTGTTATATTAAGGACTAAAATCAACTAAACTTGAATTTCTCCCATTATAGATATCTAGTTCAGACAACCATGGTCTTCCCAAATCTTTTGAAAAAACTTTCTTTATAAAGATGATTTTCCACAAGGCGATCAAGGTGAAAGATTAATCCCTTCTTTGTGTTGTAGTGGAACTTCACTTCCTCCTCCTCCTCCAATAATTCTCCCTAACCCACAAGTTCATGGTCACTTAAAGCCCTATTGGCAGGAAGGAAAGTCTGTGTGTACTCACATCTTGGAGATGAAGTTACATATTGACAAGCTGGGAGAGTTGGGTGTCAAAGTCTTGAGGAAGTTGGTTATGGACTGGGTTCTTCAATCACTTCCTAAGTCAGTAGCGGATTCTTTAAGGACTACTATATGGGAGATCACGACATGACCCTTATTAATCTAACATATTTTCTTGTTGCTACTGAATCAGAAATGGTTTGGTGCACTGGTAAAGCAAACTTGTAACATCCATAAAACTTGAGCTAATTTAAACTTTTTAAATCATTTAAAAACCATTCAGTTATTACAGTTTGTTTTCAAAATATTTTAAACATCAGAGTTCCCATAAATCAAAATCATCAATCGAGGAAGTATACGGTCACGCCTTCGCGTTCCCGCGGTCATCCGCTGAACCTGAAACAATAAACTGAAACTGTAAGCTCAAAGGCTAAGTGAGTTACCCCCAAAATATCAACGCCATACCGATATAACCATAACATATAACATATAAGTAAACAGAACAGCCATGCATCTCGAGTCTACAATGTGACTGGTCCGCCCGCACCGGGCCTTCAGTCCACCTGGTCCACTCTCTGAGTCTACAGTATGCATAATGAGGCTTCAGCCTGACTGGACCGCCTCGCAGGGCCTTCAACCTATCTGGACCGCTCCCGAGTCTTCGGCGTGACTGGACCGCCTCGCAGGGCCTACAGCCTATCCGGACCGCTCGCCGGGTATATTGGCCTATAGCACAAAGCAGGACCGCCTCAACCCAACCCCCAACAAATAAAAACATGTGCACATAAATATCATACGCTAGCTCATATCATATAATAGTCAAACTGATCTAACAGATCACTAATCATAGCAACATCCTAATAACCGAGATACAGACCTAACCGGTCACTAACATAGCCTCATTTTATAACCAGGACACCTGCCTAACCATGTCACTAAGCATAAGCATATCACCATCCTAAGTACCAGGATGTAAATCAATAAAATCATATCAAGCAATAAACCCGGATACAAATCCGATAAGGGCCGGCATTAGTGTATAGGCTTGACTAAACATTTGGGCCCTCATAGAATCATCAAATGCAATACTAGCATGAATCCTAATTACTTTTTACCATAATTTTCTAAATTAAATCCTAGCAATTTTATGCAAAATTTTCTATATTATTCCTAAAATTAAGATACTAATTCAACTAATATAATCAACCCCCTACCCCACACTTATTTCATGAAATGCCCTCATTGCATGGTATGCAAAACATAAAATTAAAAAGAGGGAGAAAAAGGAACAAACTCCCCTGGATAGAAGATGCACTCGACTCATGGAAAGAAACTTCAAACTTGTTGGATCATATGGACTCGGAAGCACGAGATCAGGCTCGGAAAATTACTCGAAATCAGGCTCGGAAAATTACTCGAAAAGCACCACGTCGTGGTAAACCAAACATAACACTTTGTGGTTTTTAAAACTGCGACACCACGTCGTGGTGTCAGATACCGCGTCGTGGTGGCATTGAAAAGTGAGATTCGGAAGGCGAATAGAGCTGCAACTTGAACTAAAAGGACACCATCTCTTCCATACAGCTTTAGGTCATGACCCTTCACTCTATGACTCAATTAGACCCCCAAAAAATGCTCTCAAATCACGCTTCTCTCGACGTTCTCTTATACCTTCACTCTAACGAACTCTCTTGTGCCAAATATACCCTTACTTGAATCTTAAATATAACCTAGAACCAGGACAAAGGAAATGGTAATAAAAGTAGGAAAAGCATCCAAACAACCAAATCATCCACAAAACATAAAACAAACCAAAGAAAACCATAATAAAGGACTAGTCTAAAACAAGACAAAAAAACCAAAGAAAAGGATAAAAACTCAATCTTCTTCATCATCACCAGCTCCACCACCACTGCCTCCAGCTCCACCCAACTGCTCTCGCCAAATGTCGTGCCATGTTGGAACATGTGGGTACGCAGAAGGAAAATGCTCAGGACGAGATACACACATAGAGCTCATCAAATGATCTAGGCTCATGTTGGTGTAGTTTGTAGCTCTAGACATGTAGTCCTCATATCGTCTCCTTGCCACACTGTAGGGATCCATGGGCATCTCATCTTCTTCCGCTACCACTGGCTCATCTGCTCCGGCTTCATTACCTCGTTGCCTTCCATGGCTTGGAACCCGGTGCCGTGGAGTATCGTCAGGAATGCTAAAACCAGCCATTCCATGATCAACAACAATTCGATCCCTCTTATAAAGAAGAGTGGAAAAGGGCTTTTGGGGCTCCACTGTAAGCATAGAAGCCTCCCGCTTCTCAAAAATACCAAAAGATCGTGCGAGTCGGGTAATCCATAAAACGCCATGAAGCGGGGACCCACGCCTGTCCTTGGCTGCCCGAACTGTAAGGAACTCAGCCAGGTGAAAAGGTAAATTAGCATAAACCTCATTTGAGGTGAGAACCCACAAAAAGAAAACATCCACAGTGGGACATTTATCCCTCTCCTGACGTTCATTTATGGTATTAGTGATCAGGCGGTGTAAGAGGTGGTGAATTGGCAACCGGATGTTGCTTTCCTGTACAGTACCCTTGTGGTAAACCCCATTAGCAATAGAATGCCAATGGTCCTCTGCTTTGAACCCTTCGATGTTCCTAATGGAGGCTGCTATAAATTGTTGGTACAATGGTGTATGGACTTCAGCTGGAAGGTAGATGCCAACCCGTAGTGCAAAATCAGCTATGCTTAAGGAACGCCTTTCCCCTCCAAGGCAAAAAGTAAGATTATCATCCGCATATATCCCGTCTTTTCTTGCGAAAGATACTATGGCAAGAAACTCATACACCAACTCCTTGTAAACCACCTCTTGAATCTCAAAAATGCGTCTCCAACCCAAACACATAAACTGTCCATGAACTCCATTAAATACCTTTTTAAGGTAAGGTTCCATAGCCTCCATCAAACCCGAATTTCCAATCCAGTGCCAATCAACCTCAGCTGGAACATGCACCTTTCTTTTCTTGAGTAAGTCAAGCTTAACAGTCGAACGCGCATGTGTCTCAGGTGCAACATTTAGTGGAAAAGAATACCATGGAAAATCGCGAGTAACGGGTTGACTTCTTCTGGACCTGCTAGTCATTCCTGCAAAATAACCACAAAAGAACAACCAAACAACCCATGTGCATTATTAAAATCGAAACAGAATAACAAAACTGTCATAGCAGTCACCACGACGAGGACCACGACGAGATCGTCGTGGCGACGGTACTGTGACGTGAACTGCTCAAATCTATCTAATTTCAACACCATATTAACTAAATACAAGTTCAGGGTTTGTTCAGTGGATGAAATGGAGTAGAATGGTAGCAAAATCAGGGACTAAAACATGCAAAAATTGGTCCGATTTTTGCAAAAATCGGAACCCTAGGTTCAAAATTATCGGCCCTAGGTTCAAATAGATGCTCTATACTACCTTAATAGATGATTAAGAGTACTAAAATCACTAGAAAAACATACCTTGTAGGGAAGAAAAACAAGAAACCGATGAAGAGAAAGAGGAGTTCTTCGTGGAGGCTGGCACGACGAGAGAGATGGGGTGGTGTAAAAAAGTGAAATTGTTTTGACTTAAGTTAAAAAACCCTAAATTGACAGCAGTAATATTCGTTGCCACGACGTGGTAGAATAACCACGTCGTGGTTGGTTACAAATCAATATTAATTATCAATTTCTTAAAAATAATCACCCCACACTTATTCTATGCCATACCCCACATCAAAACTCCATAACAAATCAGAAGAATGAGAGACTAAAAACCTAAATAACACAAAAACCAATAAAAGAAAATAAAAGAAAAGGAAAGAAAATGCAAACTCAAAACCACAGGTTGCCTCCTGCAAGCGCTTCTTTTTGAGGAGTCATGAGCCGGACTCCTTCCCACGTTACGTTGTTTAAGCTCGTGTGAATTTGACGATTTCACCCTCCCTTTCTTCACTTGGCATTTCTTCCTCGTAATGCTTCACTCGATTTCCATTAACCTTGAAAGGGGTCCCGTCTCTTGAAATAAGCTCGATAGCTCCATGTGGGAAAACTTGTTTGACAACAAATGGCCCGTCCCACCTTGTTTGCAATTTACTCGGAAAAAGTTTCAACCTTGAATTGAAAAGTAGCACCTTTTGTCCTTCATGGAACTCTTTATTACCCTTAAGCCTCATATCATGCCACTTCTTAGTTTTGTCTTTATAAATCAAAGAACTTGTGTAGGCTTCGTTTCTAAGTTCATCAAGGGCATTCATTTGCATCAACCGGTTGGCACGCAGTTCATCTAGCTCAAAATTACATATCTTCAAAGCCCAAAATGCTTTATGCTCTATCTCAACTGGCAAGTGGCAACTCTTCCCATAAACCAACCTATATGGTGTAGTACCTATAGGTGTTTTGAACGCTGTTCTAAACTCCCATAGTGCATCATCAAGCTTATCCGACCACTCCTTTCTATTACTTCCAACCGATCTTTCTAATATTCTCTTCAATGCCCGATTTGTAACTTCAGTTTGCCCACTTGTTTCAGGATGATAAGATGTTGAAAATCTATGGTGGACACCATATTTTTGCAACACCTTAGCTAACTGATCATTTGCGAAGTGGGTGCCTCGATCACTAATTAGAGCCTTTGGAACTCCAAATCTTGAAAATAACTTTTTGAGGAAACGTACCACTACTCGAGCATCATTTGTGGGTAATGCTTGTACCTCCGCCCATTTGGATACATAATCGACTGTTACCAATATGTATTTATTTCCCTTTGACATTGGGAAAGGTCCCATGAAGTCAATTCCCCAAATATCAAATATTTCACAAACTTGAATGTTATTTTGGGGCATCTCATTTCGTGATGAAATGTTTCCCGACCTTTGGCATGAATCGCATTCTTTGACAAATTTTGTAGCATCTTTAAAAATAGTAGGCCAATAAAAACCCGAATCAAAAACCTTCTTTGTCGTATATTGCGCTCCATGATGTCCTCCGGTGGGCCCGCTATGACAATGCTTCAAGATTTCACGACATTCCTTCCCGAATACACATCTTCTTATCATACCATCAGCACACCTACGAAAGAGGTATGGCTCATCCCAAAAGTAATACTTAATTTCTGAAAAGAATTTATTCTTTTGTTGGCGGGTCAAGTCGTTTGGAATGTATTCACTTGCTAAATAGTTAGCTATATCTGCAAACCATGGAATCTCTCCTGCTATAACCAATAAATATTCTTCGGGAAATTCATCTCCAATCTTGTTTTCTTCTAACTCCTCCAAGTACGGGTTTTACAATCTCGATAGATGATCGGCAGCCACGTTCTCCATCCCCTTTTTATCTCGTATTTCAATGTAAAATTCTTGTAGCAGCAACACCCAACGAATCAACCTTGGCTTAGCATCTTGTTTAGCAAAAAGATACTTAAGGGCAGAATGGTCGGTAAAAACTATGGTTTTTGACAAAACCAAATATGAGCGAAATTTATCAAATGCAAAAACCACTGCTAGTAGCTCCTTTTCTGTAGTAGTGTAGTTCTCTTGTGTTGGGTTCAAGGTCTTACTTGCATAGTAGATAGGCTGAAAATGCTTGTCAATTCTTTTTCCCAAAATAGCTCCCACCGCAAAGTCACTAGCATCACACATGAGCTCAAAAGGAAGACTCCAATCTGGAGCTATCATAATAAGTGTAGTAGTCAACTTTTCCTTCAACAAATGAAATGCATCAAGCCATTCTTTAGAAAAGTTGAATGGGGCATCCTTCAAAATAAGTTGAGTCAAGGGCCTTGTGATCTTCGAAAAGTCTTTAATAAAGCACCTATAAAATCCCGCATGGCCTAGAAAGCTTCTTACCCCCTTGACATTTGTTGGAGGTGGTAATTTGGCTATAGTATCAACCTTCGCTCTATCCACCTCTATCCCCATCCTTGAGACCTTGTGACCTAACACAATTCCTTCCTTCACCATAAAATGACACTTCTCCTAATTGAGAACAAGGTTGGTCTTCTCACATCTTGCTAGCATTAAATCCAAATTGGACAAACAATCTTCAAAAGAGGACCCGAAAACCGAGAAGTCATCCATGAAAACCTCCATAAACTTCTCGATCATATCATGAAAGATAGCCATCATGCACCTTTGGAAAGTGGCTAGTGCATTGCATAACCCAAAAGGCATGTGTCTATATGCAAATATTCCACTTGGGAATGTAAAAGTGGTATTCTCTTGATCTTGTGGGTCAATTGGAATTTGAAAGTACCCCGAGAAACCATCAGGGAAACAATAATAAAGATGACTGGACAACCTCTCGAGTATTTGATCGATGAATGGAAGTGGAAAATGATCCTTGCGTGTTGCATCATTAAGCTTTCGATAGTCAATACAAATGCGCCACCTGATAACTGTCCTTGTTGGGATCAACTCGTTAGCTTCATTGGTGACCACTGTCATTCCTCCTTTCTTTGGCACAACATGTACTGGACTCACCCATGTGCTATCAGATATTGAGTAAATGATACCAGCATCTAATAGTTTCACCACCTCTTTTTTAACTACTTCTTGCATGTTTGGGTTGAGTCTTCTTTGGCGTTGTACTATGGGTTTAGCTCCTTCTTCTAAATTGATCTTATGAGAACAATAGGCTGGACTAATCTCCTTGATATCAGTGATCTTCCATGCAATGACACCTTGTCTCTTCTTTAGAACTTTAACTAGGCTTTCTTTCTCGTGTTTTGCTAGGTCAGAAGCAATGATTACTGGCTTTTGTTGTTCTTCTTCTAAGAATGCATACTCCAGGTGTCCGGGAAGGGCTTTCAGCTCTATTTTTGGTTTGGCGTCAGCCACCACGACGTGGTGATCCTGCCACGTCGTGGTGTCGTGGTTTTTAATTCCAGATCGCGAAAAAAAACTTTGCCACGTCGTGGCATCCTCACCACGTCATGTTGCCTCTTCTGTCTCTTTTATTGCTTCATTGTACTCGCCTTCTTCCAATAACTTCTCTAATTCTTGTAGATCGAGTTTGGGATCAAAATTTCCTTCATCAAGCACCATAAATCCCTCATTTTCTTTTTCTTTCCAACCCGCTAGCTCTTTTTCCAGTACTTCATCCAACACATCAACTGAAAACGTCGTATCATCACACATCCTTGAATGTTTGATCACCCGATTAACACCAAAAGTCACCGCTTCTTCTCCAACAGGTAACGTAAGCTTGGATTCCCTTATATCAACTAAAGCTCGGTCGGTGCTCAAGAATGGCCTTCCAAGAATGATCGGGACTTGTTCATCTTCCTCCATATCCAAAACAATAAAATCCGCGGGGAAAACGAACTTGTCAACTTTCACTAGCAAGTCCTCACAAATACCCCTTGGAAATGTCATAGTTTTATTGGCCAAATGAATAACCATGCAGACCGGTCTTGGTTCGGGAAGGTCGAGCTTCTTGAAAAACGAATAGGGCATTAAGTTAACACTTGCTCCCGAGTCAGCTAGAGCATGACTTGTTGCAAGATTTCCAAATTGGCATGGCAATGTTATACTTCCTGGATCCCTCATCTTCTTTGGTAGCATGTTTAACATAGCAGCAGAACAAGTTTCATTCAACACTACCTTAGACAGCCCCTCTATCTTCTTACGGTTTGTTAACAAGTCCTTGAGAAATTTGGCATATTTAGGCATTTCGGCTAAAGCCTCAAGGAATGGAATGTTGATTTCAAGAGATTTTATGTGATCTAAGAACCTCCGGTAATCTTCAGCACGCTTCTCTTGAATTGCTCTACTTGGGAAGGGAAGTGGTGGACGATATGGCTTCACCGGTTTGATATTTTTCTTCTCAGTGTCTTGCCACGCCGTGGTAGATTCACCACGTCGTGGTGATTGCCCATACTCGTTTTCTTTATTTTCTTCTTGTCCTTCCTGTTCCGCTTCTGGTTTGTTTCTGTCAATAGGGGTTAAGTGAGTGATAATTTTCCCGCTTCTAGTGGTGATGGGTTGAATGTGAGCTCCTCTCGAGTTTTGTTCGGTATTTCCCGGAAGTCCTCCCGGTGATCTTTCATTTAATTGGCTTGCTAGTTGCCCGAGTTGCTTCTCTATAGTGAGGATTGAAGCTTGT